TTTTTTTGTTACAAGAAGTGGAAGTAAACTTTATACCCCTGCAATATGGTCGCTTCTGTTTTGGAGAACCAAATTAATAACTCCAATTTGTCGTCTTTCAGCAATTAACCGCTCGGTGGCAGAACATTGACGGAAATTTCAATATAATATCAAAAGGTCGTAAATAGCAATAATAGATATTGATGGTGTTGAACTTTCAACGATATGCCAATAGGGTAAAGTTTAAATTACATTAACAATCCAGAATTTGTTATTTCTTTTTAAATTTGAAACTACGACCAATCATTATCAAGATTTCATAGTGTTTAGAAGTAAGAATGTGTGAGTTTTGGCCACAGCGGTCCTGATAGTGATCGACTTCCATTGTTTTTTCTTCCGTGGGTATAACCCAGTCTATATGTATTATTTTCTTGACATTTACGTAAATATAGTCAGTCCATCTCGATCTCTGGTAATAGCCGACAGTTATTACTTTACCTGCATAGCGAACAGCTTGTTTGTGCCCGCCAGAGACGCCAGCACGTCTTGTTCCCACGACATGTAACCAGAGTTAGGAACAGTCTGACCATTCCCACTGCAACAAACACAAATAACCAAGATCTTACAAAAAATTGTTCATGAAACGCTGATTCAATTTTGTTAACCGATTTTTAAGTAGATTTTGGTGCTGACTTTAAGAATTACTTGTACAGTTATTCTTGAAGTTCGCCACGGTATGCGTTATACATAACATGCCATACAAACTTGTAAGTGAAACTACAGTATAATATAATAATAATATCGCGCACACTCAACATAGCCCCGCACTAGGGAAACCCTGTGTCGCGGATGCCATGGACACACACACACATAGACAACCACAAATTACACCCACGAGAGAAATAAATGTAGGCCATACAAATATTTCTCCCGGCCCGCGAATCGAACCTGGGACCTCTGCGTGACAGTCCGTCCACGGAGGCAGTTAACTATAACTCGAGCCAAAATATTTTTCTTTATGATACCAAAGGACGGTAAGAACAAGTCGTACGCCTGGCGGTAACAAGTGATAATCGCTAAAGCTGGGATGTCTCAAGATAAACTGGTTAATAAATGCAATGATCAGTATAAGGTCTAGGGATGATCAAATAGTCAACGTGAATTAACGTGACACCGCCCGTTTCACATAGAAGCCTCCCCAACAAGTTCAGCGTAAAAAAAACAAAAACCTGTAAAACTCTTCCTCCTTCTTCTTAAAAGCCTCGGCCATAGTATAGAACACGTTCAGGGAGCAAACGTAAACACCGCAATTAATCAACGTTGAAACATAAGAGTTTGGCTTCTCGACATAATGCGTGACAGATTTGGTCGACGGCTCCCGTACCATGCAACCGTAGTGCACTGATTGTTGTCGAGTTGCTTCTGTGCCCATTATTGTTACCTGTACGAGGAAATACACTATAATTAAAAGAGCGGTTACACACGGTGACTTTTACAATACAAAGACGCGATTGCATCGCTACACTTTCTTTTCATCGATGTTATCGCGTGTTTGTATCGATGCAACCGCTCGTTTGTATCGATGCAATCGCGCGTTTGCATCGATGCAAAACGCCTATAAATCGCGAGGGTAGCGATGCAATCGCGCGTTTCAGGAATGCGCGTTTGCATCGTAGCTAAATAGCGCCGTGTGAACCACTCTAATACTTATTATAAGGTTACTGTGACGATGCGAATTCTTTCATAGTCATCCCTCCTTTTTATCACTCTGTTATCTGGTTCCTGGCGCCTTAAATTTGATATTTTGAATCGTACCCTAACACGTCCACAGTCCATAACATAGGAATCGATCCGATCGGGTAGCCCATCCGAGTCTCGAAATCAGATGGGTTTCCGTGCGAGAACCTGATTCCTACTATATCTTTCTAATTTGTGAGTTAAATCAACTATTGTTCCGATTTGTAATGTCAGAAGTTTCCGATCGCCTCGACTCGGAAGAGACGGAGTATCCGATCTGGAGAGGCAATCAAAATCAAGCTGGAGTCACAAATCGGCTTCAACAATGTCAAATATTTTGGTTGGACTTCTAGATCAAAGCCCTGATTTTTTTAAACTTGTGGGTAGTCTTTTATAGGAAGTGTAATTGAGTAAATTAAAAATAAGCTTATTCAAAATATGAATATAGCGTTATTTACTAAGCTACACATCTTTGTTTTTAGTTTTAGCGACTTTTTTGGCATGGCCGCCATCTGTGAGAAATCTATGAAAATATTTTCTACACTCAAACAGGTACCTGTACAGCAACCAGTAGGTATGTCGCTCTCGCGCTACTCGCGCTTGTTCGTGCTAGCCCTACAGAGGTTGACAAAAGATGTCGCTTTATAATTGATTGTAATGAATATTGTGATGTTTTACTACCATAATGTTAATTTATTCTTGTGAAATTACTCGCTTACTACTACTTACGCGAAAGGGGAAGAGGAGCGCGACGCGAGACGTGGTTAAAAATTACTAACTGTATTCGCTCGATCGCCTTAAACGTGTACCATTGTTGTTCTCGTATAATGTTCATTACTAGTTTTTTTTTATACGCGAGTTCAAATTAAAACCATTCTCTTATTTATGTCATCCCCTGCGCTGGCGCTGGCATAACGTCACTATACTTTCTCAAACTCGTATCTTAAAGCAAAGTAACTGAAATGCAAAAAATGCATTGCAATATAAAAATTTGCAGGCTGGTTTCACATCACATTTCCTTCATATTCACACACTGGCTTTTACCTATTTTTAAAGGAACGCATCCATCATTGATAAGAAAATTAAAATAAATAGAAATTCCTGCTATCTCCTGAATAATCACTCTTTATAAGAAACGAGTTTGAGAAAGTAAGGCTTCGATATGGAAGCTTTAATAAATATTAATTGAGTATGAACATGAAAGTTAAATCGACCCTCCTACGTAAAGTATCGTATGTCGAAATTGCCAAGTTTACAGGGGAGCGTTTTAAAGTTCTAAATTCACTGAAAGAGTGATCACCATAGATCATCTAGCCGATATCTAGGATTTTATAATACTCTATGTGAGTAATGCTTTGCCGAATAAAACTGAGAAATGCTAAAGTCACGTGTTATGTTCGTTTCAGTGAATTCAGAACTTTAAAACGCTTCCCTGTAAACTTGGCAATTTTGACATACGATACTTTACGTCGCGGAGGGGTCGAAATATTTTAAGCAACTGAAGTTTGTTCTAGATAATTAGACCTGTGTTACATGCCCAAATAAGAGCAGGTACACAGGATATACCTTGATATAATTGGTTGCTTGGCCTATTGAATAGAACTTACATTGCTTTGCTTCGTTTAGTTCTAAGCGACTCGTGTCAACGAGTCTAAATAAGATGGTAGATCATACTGAAGATTTTGTCATTCGATAATGTTTTAAAGTAAATATTCTTTATGAGCAAAACATTTAAATGTTTACATTTATTGTGTTCTACGAGACGTAGTAAACCAAATGGAAAGTTAAGTTACCAGTGCAGTAGGTCTCTCTTCATGAAAAGCCCACAGCTCCTTCAACGGGAAGTCAGCACAAACATCTCCATTCAAGAGGAAGAAAGCAGCCGGGTGGCCAGCTCGTACTTGATCACGGAAGTGATATAGGCCCCCACCTGTGCCTAAGGGAGTGAATTCCTGGAGATACCTGCAATGGAGGGTTATATAACTTATTTTTATAATACTTATGTGTATAGATTAGTATCTAACATATCAAATACGACCTAGTTCCTTAAATTAACATGGTGCCATTCTTAGTGCCCTATTTTTTATGATTATGATTATTGCATCAATCATTTTGGAAAAAATATATAGTAAAATTGAGGATATAAACTGATTAGTATATGGAGTGAAAACAAGATTGATGAAAATTTTCATGACAGAAAAAACACAAACTTACCACGAAATTTTATAACAAAACCGCTGTATTTAATAGGTACTTTATATATGCCAATGAATTGTTTTATATCAACTGAACTAAATAGTACATGTATAGCATAATATATAATATAATATATACATTTTTCAAATGACTTTAATTTCGTTTGTAAAAAATAAAGCCAGTACCCTTGTCACTTGACCCAAGCAATGGAACTGAGTCAGTACCCGGTACCAACATTTATAATATACAAAAATGTTATACAGAGGTCTGAGGCAAAAGGCCAAAATTGGCTCAGCTTAGCTATTTATTGGCTCAGCTACGTAAGCCTTGCTCAACACTGATTTTCAGCTATTCCCCCTTTCCCTGAGATCTAGAACGGGACATACATAGGAGGTAGCAATTTAAAGAAAAACTTTTATACAATACTAAACAATATGAAATAAAAAAGGTATATATTAGTGGCATGTGTAAGTGTGCGCGTATGTGTTTGTGTCTCATTGTGTCTCTCTCTGTGTGTGAGGTATGTTGTATGAGTGCGTGTGGATGTATTTATTTATTATAGGAAGTTGTGAGTGAAATTCGAATGAGTATGTCCATCTGAGTTTAGAAAAAGTTTTTTAAAATGAGATCTTTCAGCAAGCATGATTCAAATACACTGCAGCAATTTGTTTTTTTTTATCAAAGCATTTTCTATTTAATTTTGAAATGTTGTTAATATAGTGTATGCCATCGACACAATACGCAGGAGGCGGGCTTTGGTTTATTAAGAATGGAGGAAGTTACATCAATAACGTGGTTATGCTTGTGAACAAACTGCATAGAAGGTTTCTATAAAAAAGCCAAACAGTTTTTAATTTTAATTTGTTTAAAATATATAATCAGATTATTAGCGATAAAGATAACCTTTTTGTTTTCTTCTGATTCCTGTCATTACTCATAGCCTAACTGCCTTACTGTCCAATCACATAATTATAAAAATACATACCTAATAATAATATGATATTCTTTCTGCATATCACTAACAAACTGTGCCATATGATTGGTAGTGTAAGATCCGATTATGAGTATCTCCTTGCACTCGGGCAACTTGATGCAGGCTGCAATGTGGTGTTGGATAAGTGGTAGACCAGCTAGAGGAAAGAGGGGCTTCGGCGTGTTCAGGGACAGCGGGCGGAAGCGAGTGCCTGAAACAGAGTTAAGGTAAACTGACTTAGGTGCTTCTCTATTTCTTTTCTGTTTTTATCTTGCAATATGTCTATTTATGAACAATGGAAATTAAATTCTTATTTTCGTACTAACAGTTCGTTTTCAAGTATCTAATAAACCATGGTACATTACACAGTCGCTGAAATATGTTGTAGCTGCATCATACTCTAGCACACGCGTCACGCATGCTATTAACGTGCATCGATACAGTCTCGCAGCTAAAACTGTTACAAAGTGTCTCCGCAAGAGCGGCGCCACTGCGACGATGTACACTCGTCATAATGCTACTAGTTAAGAGCCCTATAAAAAAGCCCTACAGTCAAGTCAGCGTTTTCAATAAACATTTTTGCTTCCTGATCCCATGGGTTTTACTCAACTACAGATGTTCATGAATTTCTCTTCGTAAATTTATGTCGTCACACTTTTTCTTTTACACATTATGTCATAAAGAGAGTGAAAATTGTTATTTTGTCATTCACTTGTGTTTAAATTTGCAGCTTAAAAATGTGACAGTTCGTACAAACTTGATATGTGGGCGAATATATGGTTACCCTATAATAAAACTTATTTATTTATTTTATTTATTTAATAGTTTATTGTACAGGAAAAAATACAACAAGTCACAAAGAATACAAGCGAAATTAAAAACAAAAGGTTCTGCTTATTTCTAATAGAAATTTCTTCCTGCAGACCTAAATACAGGACACTATAACTAAAAGAACGGGCATATGTGCACAACAAAACAAGAAAAAAAAATTTATTAAATTGTTACAAATTATATAAATACTTAGATAAATACATAATTTATAATATAATACCTAAGATATGGATGGAATAGTAGATAAATAATGCTCCTTAACTCTCACTTTAAAAATAGCTAACGATTTACTTTCGTGAACAGTAATAGGAAGTGCATTCCAAAGTCTGACCGCATGAACAGTGAAGGAGTGAGAATAGAAACCGGAATTGAAGCATGGAAAAGATAGCTGGGACCTAACAAGAGAGCGACAGGGTTTATCCTGGGACCTAAGGAAACTGAAACGCTCTTTCAGGTACCCGGGAGACACAGGGTTATGTAAAATATTGTAAAGAATGGAGACAATATGCAAATTCCTGCGGAGACGGATGGGAAGCCATTTGAGCTGACTGCGGAAATGTGAAATTCGGTCATATTTACGAAGCCCAAAGATGAACCTTATACATAGGTTTTGCAGTCGTTCAAGCTTATTTAGCAGTTCTTCAGTAGCATCCAAATAGCAGGAATCAGCATAGTCTAAGAAGGGCAAAATAAGTGTTTGGACTAAACACATCTTGGTTTTTAAAGGTAAAACGTTTTGAAGGCGCTTAAGTGAGTGGAAGGAGAAATGGACTTTACGACTGACTTCATTAATATGTGGAATCCAAACCAAATTACAATCTAAAAGCAAGCCAAGATTAGTTGCAGTAGAAGCATAAGCAATAGGCGTGGAATTATACGTTATAGGTGGGACAGAATCTACATGCAGTATGCCACGCATATACCCACTTCCCACAATCATGGCCTGCGACTTTTTGGGATTCACCAACAAACCAAAACACTCAGCCCAGTGTGCAATGCTTCGTAAATCAGCATTAACCGCTTCAACGGCTGTAACGACATCAGACGATTTAAAACTGCGGTATAGCTGCAAATCGTCAGCATAGAGATGAAAGTTTGAAGACAGCACAAAAGTGACAGAGTTGATGAAAACAGAGAAAAGGAGAGGGGAAAGAACACCAGCCTGAGGAACGCCAGCAACTAAGTCACACCAATCAGAGGAAGCCTCGTCAGAGCGAATACACTGCGAGCGGCCTCTGAGGTAGGAGTCGAACCAAGCTACAACCGAAGGAGAAATATTAAAAGAGCGAAGAGAAGCTTATTAAGTTCTTTCTTCGTAAACAATTTTACATTTAATGTAAAAAAAAGTAAATACTATTACTTTTTTTTAAAGGGTAAAGGGTTTTTGTTTAAAGGGTACAACAAATATTTGAAGTCACAAAATTATCATAACTTATATATATTACATGTTTAAACCCTTGCTAACTTTGGATTTTTATGTACAGCGGCACATCAGACTACCACACTGTGACCTTGTGTGCTTGTACAATAAGTAAAGTTACTGAAGAAGCCAGAGTCCAAATACAGTATAAGCATTTGTTAGGTATTTGGTTTCATTGTTGCATTTGTAAATTTGGAATAAAATTTGACTGCATAAATTAACAAAATGACATAAATTATCACAGTCAAAGGATAATTTATTCCATGGGTAAAATAAATTTACTCTTGAAAACGTCACATTTAAGCTACTGCTTGTTCACTACGCTGACTTATACTCTCTAGGGATTGCTCTTTTCAAATAAAATACACTAAAATCCGCAATACACTTTGAATCAAATTTGTGTGGATTCTGGAGCCATGCCATCTTTCCATACATCTTTATCTAACACATCTTCAATTTTGTAATATGACTTTTCAATCAAAATATTGTTAATGTAGTTTTGAAACTTAGGAAATGATCATCTTAATATATGCTCCGGAATCATATTGTAAAAACATAAGCAGTTCCCAGTAAAAGAGTTGTTTACCTTGGTTAAACGAAATCATGGTACCATAAGATTGGACTTAGCTCTAAGGTTAATATTATGGATATTTTCTTTTTTATTGAAATTATGTATATTTTATGGGTCTATAAAATATTTGTGCAAATGTACTGTGATGTCACAGTGATGATACTAGTCTCCAGAATAATTATGAATACAAAGATCAAACAAGTCTACTGGTTCAAATACGGCTGGATTCGGGCATTTTTAGTGCCTTCTAGCAAACCATGGTAGACACAACGCCAACTAATTTACAGTAAAGTTATTATCCACTAATTACCAATTCATGTACCTAGTAAGGCACCTTAACGACTTTAAAACCTAGCAAGTCTCAAATACTAGCTATGTTTTGAATGGTTAAAGTGACTAGTAGTAGTAGAGCTCCCTGTGAAAAAGTTTATTCAGGGAAATACTGCCACCTTACCTATTTCTGTCGTCAAGCATTGTTGTGTTCCAGTTTTGAAGAGTAAGGGTGCTGGTGAAATTACAGGCACATGGGACTAGTCAACTTATGTCTCATGGTGACGGGCGCAGTGGCAGTGCCCCTCAGATCTTTGCGATTTAAAGCTCTGAGTGGCACTGTAACTGTCCTGGACAAGCATGCAGCTTACCATTAGGCACACAACTAGTTCATCCCGTCACTTGATATTATAAAAAAAGACAAGATTTATGACAGGTCACAAACCAGACTAAGTGTGCATTACTAGGTTTTAAGGTTTCGAAAATGATAAATTGTACGATTTTGTCAGTTCTCATCGTAATTAGGTGAGTACCTACAATAGAAGAAGTATTCTGTTAACAAAAAATATTTTCAAAAAGTTTCTCACTTACTAAGTTTTGCTTTGGAGCACAAACATATATTTTTATATATTAAAATTGACATGTTTTTTACAGTAAAAATAGGCTTAACAGTAAGCTAAATACATACATTGCAATTTCATGGAACCTATATATGAACAAACACTTATTTATCAGCTAATATTCTATAACACATACATTTCTTATCATAAACAATACAATAGATATAACCTCAAAATTATATTCGCCTTTCCCTACATACAACAAATTACATATTATGTGCGTCCGCCATACATTAGATAAGACAAATGCTTGTAATTACTTTGAAATTAATGCGTTTTAAAACAATATATTGCGCTATACTAAACGGATTTTGCCGGTGACGTAGGCATACAATGAAAATGTACCTTTTTGTGGTCCTCCGATAAGTATCACAGCTTTCAACATTTTCTTAATACTTTTTTACACTTTTTAAAGGAAATTATTTTAAAGTTGAAGTCTTTACATAGATTTTCTTGGATTTTATAATAAATTGTTTACAACTCTGTGATGATAACACACGTCAGAATGTCACGGCGCATAAATGTCAAAATGATTACGTCCAGGAACTAATTTTTTTTTAATTAAGAGTTTTGGCTTGGATATTAGTATTTGGAGCCATGTCTTCGTTTAATTATCGGTAGTAATATTTTCCATTGTGATTCTAATACATTATGTTTTCACGTTCTCTTAAAGATCTTAGTTCACTTATTTCGATTTTTTAAATAGTCTTAATTGGTCGGAGTCAATATTTATGTTTTCACTTTCACTTAAATCATATTATCTTCTATCTATCACTTTGAAGAAAAACTTTGAATTTGTAACTATTGGAATTTTTAGAATAAAGTCTTTTGTAATTTGGTTTAAAATAAGAAACATTCCTTTTAAGTTTTAAGTTTCTTCATCACTATTTCTTTCTTCGTTTTTTCTTCATAATATACTTAATATAAAAATAATCTTCATAAAAGTTGTACTTGTCGCTATTTCTTCTTCCAGGAACTAAATAAATTCGTGACTGCGTTCTAAAAGTGTCATAAAATGTCAATATCTCTTTGTAAATGGCTGGTTTTTAATTTATAGGATGGGAAAAAAATAAAAGAAAGGATCATACCTACAGAATGAATGTGCCAAATATTCGATGGAAAGTGCATACCTAAACAAAAATTTAACACAGCCACTAAATGGCGGTTTCTTTAGGCTCAACTTACACCGGCGCGCAGAGTCGAAGCGTCGCGTCGACGCGCGACTCCGTATTTGCATAACACAAATTTGTACCCTAATGATGGGAAAATAGAGATGAATATATAGAGATGAAAAACGTCATGTTTTTCATCTGCACCATCGTGAGTTGCTCCTTAGTGTTATATTGATATGCAAAAGTATGGCTTGAATATTCAAACTGTTTTTTTATGTTTGTATAGTTTATTGTAAAGAAGTGTAATAAAAACGTTTAATTAAAGTAGGTCAATATTCAATTTGGGAATATTTTGTGCCTTAAAGGAATATCCGGGAATGTCACTATGAGATATAAAGTTTTTGTTATTTTGCATTTGTAAATGCTTAAATATTACGACAGGTGAATTTGCTCAGAAAAAGATGTAAGTAATTTGAGAATATATTAAAAAAGAGAAAATTTTGTAATTTAGATCCGGAGACCTCTATGCATTTCCATCCTACAAAAATTGATATTAGAGGTTTTTTTTATTTCATAGACCATTAGCTCTTTTTAGAATAAGTGTAGGGAGTTCATTCATAAAATGAATAAGTACTTACTTATTTTATTGTCCGATCGGCTTCCAATGTGGCATACTTTGGAAATCCGATGGCATTACAATAACATGGTAACCTTTAACTGATGCTGTAATCAAGGCAGTGCAGATTACCCAACTCTACAAGAACTTACAGTAGAACTATCGTGTTTGAGTTCAGTAGGGCTAACACGACAGGGCGCTAGATACTTCTACTACTTACGTCGCTCTTGCGCAAGTCGCTTCTTGTCGTGCTAATCCAACAGGGATGCACGAAAGGAAACTCCTGCCATGACCTAATTACTATTCCCTTCCTATGCGAGCAGGGCAACAATAAGCGAGTATTTTAAGCCGATTGACAAATCCTTTCATAAGATGGCAAGCTTGAGCCGGTTTTTTGCAGCTACTAATAACGCAGTCGGCGTCACTAAATAGCTTATTGAATTTCATTGATAGTGTAAGAAGTTTCATCATCAAATTGTTCTCGACGAGTTAATAGCTGTACGGCTAGCACGACAGGGCGCGACTATGCGAGAATAGCACGCGCTTTGTGTCGCTCTCGACTAAGTCGCGCCATGTCGTGCTAATTCTACTGGTGGTTGACAGATGATTTTACTGACTTTTTGGAATATACTGTTTGCTTTGAGTGTCTCGGAATTTATGTATTCATCCTATGTAATAATGTAATAAAGAATTAAATTTCATTGACATTTAATTTGAAATTTACTATGAGCTTTTCGCTATTTAAGGCTTATTGCACTCATTTTACTTCAGCAGTCTGTGGTGTCCACCCACGGAAGAATAATGTGGTCTGTGTGTACACTAGAGATGCGCCGAGACCTACTCGGCGCATCTCTTGTTTGCTACTCAGTACTCGGTGTAGTCGGCCGTTTATTTACTACTTGTACTCGGTCGAATAACTCGGTTCATGAGAAGAGTACTCGGTTAAAATAAAGCACTACAGCTATAGACATAATAAAGTAAAACCAACAATGTATTTCAAATAATGAAAAGAGATTTATTACTACAAATTCTAGACAATTGTAACAATTTGTAGAAATTTACACTAACACAAAATAACACTCGTGAACCGGTTCGATAGTCCCTTGCTATGGCATCTAATACAAAGAGTGATATATGCAATTTATATTAAGTAATTGCATATTATGTAATGTAATTTCAAATGTAATGTAATTTAAATAAGTGCATACTAACATAGTTGCTAAGTCTTACTAACAAATTATGGAAATTTTTTGTGTAATATAGTATTATTATTATTATTTTCTGTGAAGGAAAATATCATGACGAAATCTGCACGTCGAAAAAAGTTCACTCACAACCGCATTGCACCAGAGTGGCAAACTATGGCCTAAACCCCTTGCCTGAGAGGAGACTTGTGCCCATTCGTGAGACGTAGAAATGGATTTAATTATGATAATGATCGGAAGTTTATCAAATTTTAATTTTAGTTTTATCTGTAATTGAATTTAGTTGAATTTATGTTAAATTTGTTTAATTTATGTCCTTTTGTTCTATACAACCCATAAGGGAAGTGTTATACTAATTGTAACTGACATACACACCGCTAGTCAATAATTAAATTCAAAATCAAAATTTTAAGCCACATTCAATTCTTACTGTCTTTGTCAAAAGCCGTTCTCTTCATCTGAGCTTAGAAAACAATAGAAGCGCAAGATCAAAGTTAATAGTTGCGAAATAATTATGTTGTATTGTCTAAGTAAAATATAATAGGAAGCCTTCAAAGACAGGCTCCCGAGTCTTGAAACATTGAAAGGTGTGTAAAATCATTAAAGCCTCTCCAAACTCGCGCGCGATTCACGCGCGAAGTTGCGAACTACTCGCGAAGCATGAGTGTGGATGCGATCCGCGTATTCTTCGCGGCTTCGTTCCCGATTGTTGTCGGTGTGTTGTCCATGAAATCCAACTAATAGTTTAGATTTGTGCGTATTGGCGCGACGATTTTTCCGGAATCCCAGTCACAATAAAATGTAACATTTTCAGTTTTTTTTATAATATCAAGTTACGGTACGAACAAGTCGTGCGCCTGATGGTAAGCTACACGCCTGTCCATAATAATTGCAGTGCCACTCAGAGATTTAAATCGCAAAGATCTGAAGTGCACTGCCACTGTGCCCGACACCCTGAGACATAAGTTGATAAGTCCCATGTGCCTGTAATTTCACTAGTTTCCTTACCCTTCAAATCTGGAACGCAGTAATGCTGACATTATTGCTTGCGGCAGAAATAGCTAGAGTAACTACCTTGGACGTACTTTTTCACAAGGACCTCTACTGCTACTGAATACATCTCAGTAATAAGAGTGGTTACACACGGCATGTGTACTTGGGATTTATAGGCAATTGCATCGATGCGAACGCGCGACTGCATCGATACAAAGGCGCGCTTGCATCAAGCAACCGCCTATAAATCCCAAGTGTAGCGATGCAATCGTGCGTTTGTATCGACGCAGTAGCGCGTTTGCGTCGGTGCTCAAGGTCGCCGTGTGTAATCGCTCTAAGTAAAAAAGTGACGATTTTGGATTGTGCCACTGATCTTGAAAAGCAGCGTTATGCCTCAAGGCGATCGGCGCCAGGCAGTGCCCTCAGATCTTTGGATTTAAAGCTCTGAGCAGCACTGCAATTGTTATGTGTAGGCGTGTCGCTTACCACCAGGCACACTACTTGCTAGCCCCGTGGCTTGGTCTCATAAAAAAATATTAGCACCGTACAATATTACTGCGCGTTTAATGCTGAAGGATCCTGATAATACACCCAATTAAACACACACGCTTTATATATATAAAGCTACAAATCCTGACTCGCTTTGAAAAATAGAACGCATACTTCCCGATATGGTGGAAAAAAGATATTTATACCGTGGTATGCGTATAGGCTCCAAGGCAAAGAATCAAATATGAGAACACCTGAATGTGGAAAATGTTAACGAGTGATCAACTGTCTGCAAAAACTACAATACATGGGGGATTTTTGTGCCCTTTTATGAGATATAACTTGGTCAATTTTTGCAGAAAGTAAAAGTGTTCGAATTTCAAATAAACAAGATGGCCGCCATACAAATTTCGAAGCGTTCTATCACGGAAACTATTAGAGATAGGTAGGAGGTGTTGGAAGGAATGTCATAGAGGGTAATAGTGGTCAACTGCGTGTAAAAAAAAAAAATCAAAATATCCAAATCCAAAATGGCGGCCGAAGAAAAACTTACTTCAATGCGGCTGGAAATTGGCATGCGGGGGTCTTTAGGAGTCCTTCATCATAATTTGGGGTCAAAAATTTCTTTTCGCCATTTTTTTATATGGCCGCCATATAAGTGTTATGTTTCGTTAAAAATAACACTTATATGGCCGAAAGGAATTTGCTCTGTTTCTACTGAAAATTGACATGTGAAGGCCACTAGAAATGCCGGATAATAATTTGTGCTCGAAATTTGTTTTTTGCCATTTTCAAATATGGCCGTTCGTTGGCGGCAGTAAAAAAAATTGCTCAGATACCTTTGAAAATTTTGAAATTTGAAAATTGGCATATGGGGGTCTCTAGTAGTGCTTGATAATAACTTGTGGTCAAAATTGGTTTTTCGCCATTTTTCAATATAGCTGCCATAGAAGTGTTTTTTGGCGTCAGATGAAAATTTGCTCTAATTCGATTGAAAAC